GTATAAATATGCGAAGTGAATACTTTTTGGCAATCACCTTTCTAGGATGATCATTTTTAAAAATAACCAGTACTGTTGATAAAATAAACACCGGTACGATCTATCTGCCTAAGGGAAAGGATGCCTTCGTGGAAGACTTTCTAAGGGAAATTGGCTCCTAGACACGTTACACAGGGTAAAACCACGACGAAGCGCAACCAGTCCCTTCGCGGGATTCGAAACTCGGACCGAAATACTGGTGTTCAGCTACTTTACCGCTTCGTGCCTCATTTCAGAGCGGATTCGCTATATATGAAACAGAGTAATGTGCTGTTACCGTATTTAGCAGCCTGCCTTTTTCCTTGACCTACCATAAAAAAATAAAATAGCAAAATTATAACAGCGTCTCTAAAAAGATGCTTTGCTATATTCTCATTAAATCTTTATCATTCTGCGCTACTAAAAAAAACGAAGTACGATTATTTCAAATTCAAAATTTTATAACATTACTTTACAGAAAGCGATCTCATGTCTTCTAAAAATAAAACCCAACATCTGTTTCTACTCAAGCGCTTACTTTCTAGACAAAGTAATTTCAGTGTAACGTACGTTCAGTTTTATCTAACTTTGAACGGAAAAAAAAAAAAAAAAAAAAAAAAAAAAACTATGTACATAACAGGCAAAGATATTAACAGCACATAAATTTACTCAATTATATTGGATTACCAGAGGAGAAAAAAATAATTCGATGAGATAATTCTCTGAGAATTCATAAACGCTAAATTAAGAATAAATTTTATAAAATGTTTACTAATGAATACATGTATTTGCATAGTAAGTTTCCTTTTTTAAAAATTTTTTCATCTTTATCACGTTTATCGGAGTGTCGTATTTAACTTCACAATTATGCTCCGAAATTTCATTGCTGTAGATTGGATTATTACCAATATATAATTCTACTAGTAACCAGAGCCAGTATTAGAGGTTTTTGCTGCTCACTACAATATCTGTGGCTCTTACTTCTGCCACGCGCCGCCAGTGGCTGAGTGGTTAAGAATATTGATTACTGGAAGTTCGACCTGGTTTCGGTTCGATCCCAGGCGAACCAGCTGGCTGCATGGTTTGTTTTCCTGTTGTGCAACATGAATACGACCCAGTTTCCTTCAGCAATTAGGCTCACCCGCGGCCGAGCGGTTAAATCGCTGAACACTGGTAGTTCCGACCTGGGTTCGAATCAAGGCGAACGGGCTGGCTACATGGGCGTTTTTCATAATCTTCCCCGTGTGTAACGTGTATGGGGAGCTTTGCTATAAACTAAACTAAGCCTTCAGAAACTTCCTCCACGAAAGCATCTGCTATCTGCCACCTCGTGGCTTTGCTATATTCAAAGAGCCTAACCCAATTCTAGCACTCAGTTCCTCTCTAAATTCTAGCGGGCGAGCGCTAAAGTCGCCTATTACTGGTAGTTCAACCTCGGCACATTATCTGAGTTCAGCTTTGAATGAAAACAACATAAAGTGTTATAATGAACGATTAGTTTAAAGATTTCACTTGATACTGAAATGCATAAAATCAAATTGCGTTTCTACATATCAGATTTATAAAGTACAGCTGATAATTGTAGGAATATCAGGTTCATAAAGAACAGTTGATAAATACATGAGAAGTGGGAAGGAATTCATAAATTACAGAATTTAATGGTTGTAACGAAAATTTTAAGCACGAACGTTCTTCATAAAGTTATGAAAAAAAAAAAAAAAGCAGTCAGTACCTTTAGTAATCACTACCAAAAATCTATGCTTTTCTGCCAATTTTTTGGTAGTTTTTCAAAACCTTCGGCTCGGAAACTTGGTGGCCCGAGTCCAAACACAGGTCAACCTCATTTCGGACGTCTTGTGCAGAAGTGAAGATAGGACCAGCAAGATGTAGCTGAAAGTCCGAACGTGCGATGTCGGGGTTATATGGTGGATGTGGTGAAAGATCCCTTTCGAGTCCGTACAGAGGCCAGCCGGTGAATGCAGACACGTATGGTATTATCTTGATGGAACGTTACCTTTCTGCGCCGGAACTCAATTCGACTCTTTTCCTTGATAGCAGCGTCAACATGCACTAGCATCTCGTTGTATCCTTTACTGTCTGTCAAGGGTTTTACCTTTTTCCATATACTATTTGTGATTAATACCACGGCAATCCCACCAAATACAAAAGAATGATCTTTTTGTTAGTCAAATTACGCTTTACGATGCTGCCGACGGACTCACGGGCGCAGATCAACTAAATTTTTGGCCTATGTTGTTGAAATAAATTTATTTTTCAACACAAGTGACTATCCAGATCACCAGATCCAAAGCATGATCTTTTCGTTAGTCAAATTACGCTTTGCGACGCTGCCGACAGGCTCACCGGGCGCAGACCAGCTCCCTTTTCGACCTATATTGTTTGTGTGTAAACTTGTCTAACTTTGAAAGAAAAAAAAAAAAAAAAAAACTATGTATATAACACGCAAAGATATTACAGAACATAAATTTACTCAATTTTATTGGATTACCAAAGGAGGAAAAAATACTCAGATAACTCTCTTAGAATTCTTAAACGCTAAATTAAGAATAAATTTTATAAAATGTTTACTAATAAATACAAGTATTTTAAATAATAAATTTTTCCATCTCTACATATACCACGTTTATCGGAGTGTCGCATTTGACTTTACAATTAAGCTCCGAAATTTCCTTGCTGTAGATTGGATGATTACCAATATACTTACAATCCTACTAGTAACCAGGGCCACTATTAGGGATTTTTGCTACTCAGTACATTATCTGTGGCTCCTACCACACGCCACCAGTGGCCGAGTGGTTAAAACTACTGAATACTGGAAGTTCGAACTGGTTTGGGTTCGATGCCAGACGAATCAGCTGGTTGCATTGTTTGTTTTCACCGTGTGTAACATGAATACAAGCCAGTTCCCTTCAGCAATTAGGCCCTCCCGCGGTAGAGGAATTAAATCGCTGAACACTGGTAGTTTCGACCTGGATTCGAATCAAGGCTAACGGGCCGGCTGCATGGACGTTTTCATAATTTTCTGTATGTGTAACGTGTATGGGTTTGTCAATTTCTCTAAGAAAGTTCAACATGAAGGCATCCTACTGTGCTTTGCCATAATAACCTAATCTAAGCCTTCAGAAAATGACTCCACGAAGGCCTGCCATCTTAAGAAGGTAACCCTCGTGGCTTTGCTACATTCAAAGAGCCTAACGCAGTTCTAGCAAGCGAGCCGCCGAACACTGGTAGTTCATCCGGAGTTCAAGCCTCGATAACGAGTTGGATGCATGACCGATTTTGGTGTTTTCCAAATTCACCTGCTTTGGCGTAATCAAACTCTATAATTCTAAACAAACTGACGTTCGGTTTCGGCTCCAACGGCTCTAGCACCACGTTCCAAATTATAACTACAGTTCAACAAATAAATGTCTGGCGTATACATTCGAATAACCTAAGTAAAAAAAAAAAAAAAAAGGGGGGGGCTTTTTTAATTTCTTCCACAACCAAGCATGCATGCATGCACATAAAGCGAATAAAGAAAAACTTATGGAGTGCAATAGGGTTCTAATCTAATCCATAACATATTTAGTTAGTGATCGCCATCATTGGGAGCTATAAATATGCTATATTGACGGGAAGGAGAAAATTTTACTTCCTGAGTGAGCTAATTCAGAACTAGTCATTATTTCATCTGTCATCTTAAATTTAGGATGTCAAATTACGTGACTAACAAAAACCTAGTATTTATATGAAGCTTGATAAAAATCAAAGTTTTGAAGACGGTATATGTGATCATGTTCGGTTGATTACCATTATGATCAGCAAATAACAACAGCAATTTACTGATGTCTTTCTTATCTTTATATTCAGATGTAGTTTTCAGGGCAACTAGAGAAAATTTATTAATTACTTTTATTATTTTTGATACTTTATACGTACGAAGATACATACTTGTAGGAAGAGAGATATAAATATCATATTCGAACAAATAAAAAAAAATCGTGACTTGAAGACCCTAGAGATACGGCTTCTGATTGCTTTTCAAATTTTTACCATATTAGTAACGATATAATCGAATAATCTTTCAAAGATTATTGTTTACCGATTTTAGGTAACAACTAGAAAACATTTTTTCGAACTTATCCTCAAACAAGTTTGCTATTGGTAATGAATACTGCTGTATCATGAATCAGGTACGGCGCTATGCATTTTGCTGACTTTGTACGCAATAAATTCTGTTGTCAAGTGCCCTTCCCACAAAATTCTAAAATTTTATTGCTTGATGCTTCGCTGAATTTTACAATTTTGCTGTACCTAAATTCTGCCGTACCGGCAGTGATCATGATTTCAAATTCCCCCCTCCCCGAGATTTACTTTACTGTGTTATCTGAAAAACAGCTCACAAGTTGCTAAAAATAGCTATAAAACTGGTTCCACAGCTTTTAGCAACGGCCTCCCGTTGTGCGTTTGGAAACTCAGCTTTTGAAAGAAAAGGAAGGGGAATAATTTCTCTCTGACTACAGTATAGATGAGGTCCGTGACTTTGTTTGAGCTACTGCAAATGTTCTGAAGTACACTTTTTTCTGTTTCGGCAACATTCATCTTGAGAATTCAACACTTGTTCATTAGCCCTTAGTAATTGACAGAAATGCTTTTAGAAAGTAGTGGGTTCATTGATACCAACAAAATGGTTGGTATCAATAAACTGGGGATACGTTAGTTTCAGTTGTTGGGTTCAAATGAACCTTTCAAATACTAAAAAAGTCCTTTTGCATAATCGAATCCTTTTGCATAAAGAATTTCATCTGAGAATAATTTTTCTACTTAAAAATGAGTTTTGCAGTACTTTTTAAATACTACTTGTATTTTTATTTTCGAAAATTTTCATAAATATTGTAATTAATTATTTCCAATTTTAATAACTCGCAGAAAAAACACAATTTTCAAGAAATTTTTTTATTATGGTTATTCAAATTTATACTTATACTAATATACAGCATCTTTTATATTCCTTATACATTTGACACTGCATGCTTCAACCTGCATGTAAGTTTCTCTTCCTTAGTAACTCCTGACCCAGAGACGTCTCAATGAAAGCCAAATCATGCACAAAATTTTCACCTGAAAAAAAAAAAAAAAGAAAATGATAAAAAATATTTTTAACACCATATTCTCGACCCCCCCCCAAAAAAAAGAAATTGCAAGAAATACAAATTTCTAACAGAAAAATGCATTTTCAAGCAGCTGAAATTGTTTCACAAATTAATAATGCAGATAGCAAATGTAACATATGGCACTATTGCCACTCAGTGCAATCTCTGCATATCCTAAATTCTGCTGGCTGATGTCTTCGTAAGTTCTGAACATTTTTTTTGCCTCTAAATTTTGCTGCTCAGTGCCCTCTGCTAAATTATAAAATTTTGTTTTGACTACCACTGGTTGCACAGGCCCTGATCAAAGCAAAGAGGCAAGATGCTACCTGCTATTGATAAACTGCCTTATAAATACCACAAATCTAAATAAATATCAGTTTTATTTCCAAAACAGAATTATCTCACAGCTAAAGCATTGCCTTTGCAGAAAATCTTCTAAATGGAAATAGAATTGCATCCACATTACATGTGCAGAATCCCAATAATTCATTATAAACAGTTCCAAACCATAGTTAGGCTTAGAACTCACAACAGTATTCTTCTTGGAAGTCTTCCTAAGGAAATGGTAGTATATTCAGGGAACATGTGGGCAAAATCATGACAGTATATCACAAGCCTAATTCTTGACCATACATACTAGAAAGATCACAGAAATTCCTCACAGGAAGCTAGATTCATATAACAAAATTTCATGCAACATATGGCATATGGGAAAAAGCAAGGACATTATAATCACTAGCATAGTTTATACCCAAATGAGTTGCAGATGGTGCACTATGTGCTCACAGCTGATTATCACTAATGCAGATATATATTTACTAATATTTAGAAGATGATGAAGTATAGCAAAATATACAAAACATTAGTCCTTAAATCCAACACATTTTCTGATTTTCATACCATCTAGAATAATAGATTTGACGTTAGGTACAATATCAGAATTTTGGGTACATGAAATGTGAAATGGTTTTTTATTTTTAGTCACTGTTTCTAGTAATTTGTTCGAAAGTAACAAATAAGCTGGTTTCAGTCTGTCAATGAAATGTTAACTTGTCTGTCCTTAATTAAGACTCGGAAATATTTATCATATTTTTTTTTTTCACCACAAAAAATGGTCCCTCAATAAGCAAATTCAAGTGCCTTTTTCACACGATCAGTTCTCACAAACACATGAGAACATGATCTCAAGTCTTTATGCATAAATATTTTATGTTTGTTAGCAGTTGATAAACTGGTGCTGATCCATAAAAGACAGTAAATTTGTTACAAATGGTTCAGGTTTAGTTTTAGTGGTAGGTAGTCGAAAAACTCACACCGACCTGTAGAAGGCCCATTCCAATTTCGCCAACAAAGGTGCACTTTATTTGGCATCTTGCCATCTTCAATAGCACTGCATATAAGGCACACTTTGTTGCGAATTCCAACAAACAAAATTTTCTGGGTGACCATGCCTATAATAACAGATATGCCACTTGAAGCATTGTAACCATGCCCATAGCTTCTTTTACACCAACCTCCATCAACAATGACAGTTATACAGTGATAACCATCATTATCTTTATCATTGCGAAGTTCTGCCTGCCTTTTCTCCTCTTCTATAGCAGCACACATAGTTTCCTGTGCACATCCCTGTATTATTTTGCCAGTAGTTCGCTCACAAGAAGCAAAGGTCGAGTTGCTCATATACGGAATTTCCATGATGCTAAACTTTTCCTAAAAATTTAATAATACTGCAAGCTGATTTATCACATATTTCACATAAGTTATATGTAGTGACAAGACCACGTCGAATCACTTTGTTAAAAATAAATGATCCTCCAAATTTACAATTTAGGGAATGTTGCTCTAATGTCCTAGCCTGCACTATTACAAAAGACATATTGCAAATTGTTCTGCTGCCAGATGGTAATGGATTTGCCTTTCGTCGATCTTCCCTTTCGATAATTAAAGGTGAATCAGGACACAGAAATTCATCATTAAGGTTCTCCTGAAGAGGCTCAGACTCCAAGCTAAAATATATATATATACAATATATATATACATATATATAATTAATATATATAAATATTACAAATTAGGTTTAAATTTGGCTTATTTGATGACAGCAAAGCACTTGATCTTCCTAAGAGGAGGAATGCTTTCATGGAGGACTTTCTAAGGGAAATGGCTCATATACACGGGGAAAACCATGAAAACGCCCATGCAGGCAGCCCATTCGCAATTAGGTTTAGGAAATTTAGGCAACAGATAGCAAATAAATTAACAATAATAATACACTGGATTACCAGTATATTACTACAAGAAGATGAGTCATCTTCACAACTGCTGCTTCCATGCTCGCAGTGTCATTTGCTCGTGCAATATTAGTCACTACTTTGTGTGCCGGAGGTTTCACATGAAGGGCCTCTACACCTGAGTATAAAATGTTCGTGTTCCAGTAAACACTGAATTCAGAGGGGCAAGAATAACTCTTTCATGGTGGATAACTCAGTTACCAAATGGCTTTCTAAGGCTCTATTCAAGCCGTTGTATAAATGTCATAATTCCCAACTAACAACGCTTTGTAGTCAGACCTTGCTATGTCACAAAAACTAGTTTGGGCATTAAGCTTGAAGTTTTCAACTTTGTGCCGACTTGATATAAGAGTCGGCCAATCAGAGCATATACATAAAACCTATTGAGAGAGAAAGCTGTAGACACATACATGCATGCACAAATTTAGCTTCTCTAATTGGCTATGGCTTAGACCCTCTCTCGCAGGTGTGAATGGAACTCCCACATTTTGTGCCTTATGATTATGCGTCTATGACATTTATACCATCATGTGAACGGAGCCTTAGGATGGCATACTAAGAAGATGCACTGTCTTGTGGGGATAAGCAATTTATACTCCTAAGCCTAAAAAAAAAACTTGGAAAAAAAAGATCACGACTTAAATTTGTTGTCTAATTGCTCTAATTTGAGGCACATTATGAGAGGAAAGCAAAGGTAGTAATCAGAATTATTTAAAAAATTTTATCCTTATATTTTTCTTAAAAATTCTGTAAAATAATAAAATTTGTGGTTTTCCTCAAATAAATATATATGGAAAAAATAACAGCCACATAATCACAGATTTCATTTTGTTATATTTTATTAACAAAATTTAAATTATTAAAAATCTCTTTCATGAAGGGAACATAAAACATCATGAAAACAATGAAAAAGAAGCAATATTTAAAAAAGATAGTAGGCTTATTGATGAGGCTCCCATCAAAAGAATCAAACCCCAAAATATTTTCATTTGCTTCAGTGTCCCGACTGAAAATTTCACTGATTTCAATGAATATATTTTTAAAAAAATCTTTTATTTTCAAGTTCTTTCATGCAAAACGTCCAAATTTGGTACAAATCAAATTCATCCCCCTCTTTTTGATAGCTACAATATTATATTTAACAGTTTTAATAGCTATCAGTATGTAAACAACATAATGTAACACCATAAAAGAAAAACATAAATGATGACATTTTAATTTTGGCATAGAGAAATACATATTTACCCCAAAAGAGAGCTTGTATTTCTACCTTCTACGTCAGAGTCAATAACTGAAATGTCCAGATCAGAACTGAGAAGAAAAGAACCATAATTAGTTTAATTAAGATACAATAACACACCGACCAAGTATTAATTTGAGAGTCAAGCAACAAAAATCAGCATCATATTTTGAAATATTCACTATTTGAAAATATAACGCTGATTTTGGTTGCTTGACTTCTAAATTAATACATAATTAGTTAACCATAATTAAGTAACTGTAATATCATGCACAGCTAATATCTATTTTAAAAATAAACCAACTTACCTCAGGAAAGCCTGGTTTGTCTTAGGAACATTAGCTGTAACTTCTGGCGTAGAAAAGTCAAATTTTTCACTTCCGGACCTAAGAATGAAAGAAATAAACTGCTATAACATAATTAAAAAAAAAAAAAAAAAAAAACATGAATAAATAAATAACACATAACAAATTTAAGCATTAAGCTATGTATGACTACCACCCATCTCAGACAGTGCGACAGATATTGCTGTATACTGTTTCGCCATACCCTGTGTAGCTATTATATCATGCTGTATAACCACAGTTTAGAAAAATTACAAAATGTGTTATTTATATCTATCTAAAATGGTACATTACTACATGATTTGTAAGAATAAATTAGAGGGCTCTGCGAATGAAATTCCTTCCAATTAAAAAATGTAGGAATAAAGAAAATGCAGGAATTGCAAATGCAGAAATGAAAAAGGGGATTATATTTTTTGTACAGAATCCAGATGACATATTTTTCAACATTTTAGAAATTTCAATATTAATTTTAGGGGCATAAAATATTAGGCCCCTAAAAGCAGAATATAGTTTTTAAATGTTCAGATAATCTTCCTATGAGAAGAATTCCTTTGAGAAGTACACATCTGAACCACAATTAAAAAACATGTACAAGAACAGAGCTGAGGACTTCTGTTTGCAGAAAGTCTGTCACATAACATATGAAAAGTTTCTTATTGGTAGATTTTTGATCAGACGGATATTTTAATGTTATACAGAGAAAGCATTCACTCCCTTTATACTGGAGATAATTCAATTTGGACAATGGCAAAAAGGCTAAGCAAGCCTGAGCGTATTGGTCCCATTCTTGGCACTAGTTTGGTTTACGCTCAAAATACACAGCAGATATTTTCTAATTACCTGCATCCCAATATCAATTCAATTCAGCTTTTGGTGGAATTTAACCATTTGTGACATATTTTTCAAAAACTACACTTCACAACATGCATACATGACAAATACACAGAACCATAAATAAACAAGCAATAATATATATTTATATATAAATTTTACTAAATGATCATAAAATGTTCCAACGCTAAAAGAAAGTTTTAACATCCAAGTAAATGACATAATAAAAAAAAGCAAGTTGAACAGCGAGCACATGAATAAATGTGCATACACCTGTTAAAATATACCATAGGTAACTGACAAAGCATTTCGTAGCAAACATATGACTATAAAATTTCCAATAATACATGTAATGATGGTGAATTCAATTTAGATCGCAAGAACATGCTCATACTTTTGAAAAGATTCAATTATTTCAGCAATTCCTTGTGAATTGGAATTTACCCTTTCAATATTTCCCAACAATTTAGTGTGAATGGAGGAATAAATTCTTATAACAGAATTGAACAATTATTAGCATCCCCTCATACACACACATACAAAAAAAAAAAAAAAAAAAAAAAAAAAAAAACTTACTTTGTAAAAAAATCATCCGGGCAATGATTCTCCTTTGACACAGATGCAGTTGTATCAATAATTTCTGACCTTCAATAAAAAAAATACGCATATTTTACTTCGGAATTAACTTACTACGAAATCATAAACACGGGGTAGTCGATATAAAGAATAAATTATTTCTCACCTTTCGAAAACATCCGCTTGTTCGGAATCTTCCACATCTCGGGAATTTAATTTCATATTTTTTTCTTGAGCTCGACGTTTACGCTGAATTCTGGATCTTTTATTAAAACCAGGATGTTTTTTCGGTCGTCCTTGATATTTTCGCATATTTTTTGCAAACTGACCACAGTACAAATAAATGTAAACAAAACGAGTGCGGAATAGCAATGCAATAGGGTTGCCGTAAACGTCATTCTGCTGACAGCTGACAATGTTTAGTGAAAACTGTGTATAAAGGAATATATGAAACGCTTCTAAATATTATTTAGAAAAAAATATGATTTATAACTGATATCAAAATCAATTACTTCGTGAATTTTTGCAGAAATAAGATTACAATGTTAAATTTTAACTCGTAGCGCCATCTATTGATGGCTTTCCAAACTACACATTAAAATTACGTATTTCAAACTAATTTTTTTAAAAATATAATATTTAAGTAAATTTCATTTCAAACCTGATTCTAACATTGTGATTCGAAAACTGACCTATTGCTTTATATTTCTGCCAAATTGCACGCAACATAGTTTCTTAATTAGCGATTCTGCGTGTAAAAAAATTTTTAGTATTGTAATGCTGCTGTAGTAGACCACCTTAATATCATGCTTTTCTACCAAGATGAATTTAATTGCACTAAACCCCAGATAATAATGGTAATGATGCATTGTGCAATCTACCAATTTTAATTATTTCTTAGATGGCAGAAACAATATTATTTTTAAGCTTTAATTTGTAGTAAAATGGTAGGGAAAAGAAATGATTAAAGCAACAACCAATTTTAGTGGTGCCATGTAAAAAACAACTGACTGACTAAAAGTGATAGATTACATACTACATTATTAGCATCTCAGGGTCTGCACACATTTCTGCACATGGAAATTAAGTACCTTTAAAGGACCACCAATGAAACAAAGGTCCCATCAAGCAAATAGGAATTCAATAAACTAAAGGAAAATTTGTATGAATAAAATAAATCTGTACGTAGAATGCATTATTATTAAACACAATCTAATATTTAACTTAATTGCAAAACAAATTCAAGAATAATACTAACTTCACAAATTTAGTCAAGTAATTAGCATTAAATTATAAAGTTTCATGAAGCATTTATATTTATAATAGATATTTTAAAGAATACATATTTTAATATGTATTTTACAGATTTTAATAGACATTTTAAAGAAGATTACTAGCTTTTTACTTAAATTGTGCTAACGGCTTTATATTGATTCTTTCTTTTATGCCTCATTTCATCACTTACTTGCTCAGTCCAGAGGTGTATGCAAATTTTATGCCAAATAGCATAAGTTAAACCGGGAAGTACATCAGCATGACTCATAACAAAAGCTTGGCTATTGCCACCACAGATGCATGGTTGGAGATGATCAGAACAAATGTGAATGCCTGACATTTGCACTTTGTTTGACCCAGTTAGTGTCATAGCTTTATATAGATTTGCTGAAGTTGTAACCGAGTTAATATACAGTATTTAATATAAAGTTCCAATAAGCCTCTGAGGCATCAGAGATGATACATTGTTTTGTATTATTTTAAGTCTATTGGCTGTAGAGAATAATTTTTTACGTTCATTTTTACATTTTTGTATTTATCTTGCATAGAGAATAAGAGATAACTCACCTTAACACGTAGAGATAATTCCTAAGAATGAGCAGTTAGTTACAAATAATTAAATTACACAGTTAGATACTCTCAGTCATAATACATTTACATGGTTACAATTACATTTTTTTTTTTTCATTTCTAAAACATATCCATTAAAAAAGCACTAAGAACATTTTACAGCACTTCTAATTTATGCAAATGATTCTAAAATAATATTAGCATAACTATACATTAAAAGGTACAAAAAATTATGATTTGTAGCGACAACAAACAACAAATTGTTAATGTGTCTTTTTTACTTGAAAATTTTACAAATATTTTAGTTAATTTACATCAGTTTCTTTTGCTTTAGGATCTTTTCTAAGTTTGTTTCAATAAACAAATCAATGCCCCTGCTGGTCTCCTCTTCCTCTCCTAATTTATTAAAATTTCAACAAAGTACCTTTGAAGAATAATTTTCTCTTTTTATAAAACCAATTTCTTTTAAATAAATCAATGCTCCCACTGGTCTCCTCTTCCGATCTTAATTTATTAAAATTTCAACAACGTGCCTTTGAAGAATAATTTTCTCTTCATAAAACAAATTTCTTTTTCAATAAATTTCCTCTTCATTTTAGAATTTTCAGATTTAATTAAAGATTGTTGTTATTCTAAAGAACTGCCTGTACTAAGAATGTAAAGAAGAAACTTCTAATCTTATTTCTTTAATAATATGAGTATTGAAAATAATACAAACTGATATCAGGTACTGATATAAACTGATATTGAAAATAATACAAACTGATACAAACTGTATTGACTGAAGTCAATACAGGCACTTTAGAGAGTGTGGCAAAATTTTTAGAATTTAGTGAAGCACTGAGCAACAAAATTTGGGGCAAGCAAAAGTTTAGAATCCAGGGCAGGCACTGAGGTATGTACGGTGCACTGAGACATATATTCATTACGATACTGAGACGTAATGAATCTTTTAATTTACAATAAGTTTTCAATTTCTTTGCTTTATTTGACTGCTTGTGACTAGTGGAAAGATAAAAAAATAAAGTGAAAATAAACATATTAAAGATTTTTGAGATCAGATTCACTGTTCTTCCAAAAATTCTCCAAAAGAGATGGGTAAAGTGAATTTTCAACAGAAAGCGTAACACATTTAAATATTCTAAAACAATTACATGTGAAAAAACTCTTATTAAATGAATAAATAAATAAATAAAAAATCTAAAAGCTTTCAGATTTCACATTACGGGCAAAGGGGCTTAATGTTT